CTGGTAGAAACTACTCAGTTCCAACAACTACAACAGGCCATGCATACTGACTTACAAGCGTTAGAAGAATCAGTCAGTGCTCTAGAAAAATCCTTGACCTCCCTTTCAGAAGTAGTCTTGCAGAATAGAAGGGGGCTAGATATCCTCTTCTTACAAGAAGAAAGACTATGTGCAACTTTAAAGGAAGAATGCTGCTTTTATGCTGACCATACTGGATTGGTAAGGGATAACATGGCTAAACTCAGAGAAAGACTCAGACAGAGACAGCAATTCTTTGAGTCAGGACAAAGCTGGTACGAGAGATGGTTTAGTCGGTCCCCCTGGATTACCACCCTGATCTCCTCCATTATGGGTCCCCTAATCGTAATTCTCCTGATTCTACTAGTTGGGCCTTGTGTCCTAAATCGGCTAGTTCAGTTTATAAAAGACCGGCTCTCCGTCATACAGACGTTAGTGCTAACCCAGCAGTACCATCAACTCAAGCAGTTAGAGACAGAGATTGACTCACTAGACCCATAGAATGAAGGATTCCATTCTAGGCTAGAAGAGAAATGGGGGAATGAAAAAATAAAAAGCCCTAGTAAAATGCTTGGCAACACTATTTTACAAGCAATACAGGGTCAGAAGCAGGGCAGGACAGGTGTCCAACCACAGGGTATCTGCGGTTGGGCGCCTGAAACAATCGGGACACCCAAGATAAGAACCGGGAGTCTTTCCTGCCTTCTCTGAACTGGCTACGTGACTTAGCCCACATCTGCTTTCCCGCCTTCCCTGCTCCAAATACGTAACCTAACTATGGCTTTGTTCAAATCCCCCAATCAGATCCCCGTAACTATGCTTCTCGCTTCTGTAAACGTGCTTCTTGCCCCCGAGCCCTATAAAAAAACCCGTTACCCCAACCGAGGGGCGCGCAGGTCTTCCGAAAGGCTTTGTCGCCCCGGGTTCCCGTGTATCGAAATAAACCTCTTGCGACTTGCATCCGAAGGCTGGTCTCGCTGATTCTTGGGAAGCGGGGGGTCTCCCCGTCCAGAGAGGCTCTACCCAGAGTCTTTCATTTGGAGGCCCCAGCGAGATCTGAGACCCCCCCACCCAAGGACCACCGACTCCATCGGGAGGTAAGCTGGCCAGCAGAGTGTCTTTTGTTGTCTTCATTCCGTCACGTGTTTGTCTGTTCTATCTCTCAAAATTTGTACGATTCAGCTGAGTCGCTCCGTATTAGGCGGAAAGAGAAGAGGCTGACGAGCCTAAACTTCTCTACCGCAACTCTGGAAGACGTTCCACGAGTGTCTGGGACCCGATTTTTCGGAGCCCGCCTGTCTGAGATCACGTCCCAATCTGGACTTTTCGGGGCGAAGCCCTTGTCTGAGGGCTACGTAGTTCTCCTGGGGAAAGAGGGATCCGGACCCTCTTCGCAGTCCCCATCTGAAGTTTTGCTTTCGGTTTGGCGCCAGAGTCGTGCCGCGCGCTGCGTTTGTGTTACTGTCTGTCTATTGTTCGTCGGATTCGTGTTTGGTGCTAGCCTTTTTGAAACCATGGGACAATCTCTAACTACCCCCTTAAGCCTCACTCTACAGCACTGGAAGGATACCCGAGACATCGCTCATAACCACTCTGTAGAGATCCGGAAGAGAAAGTGGGACACCTTCTGCTCCTCAGAATGGCCGACATTTAATGTCGGCTGGCCAAGAGATGGCACCTTTAACCTAGACATTATTTTGCAGGTTAAGGCGAAAGTCATGGATTCAGGGCCGCACGGCCACCCGGACCAGATACCCTACATTGTTACTTGGGAAGCCCTGGCCCGGGAACCACCCTCATGGGTCAAGCCGTTTGTCACTCCCAGCCCCCCTGCTGTTCCCCCTGCAGTTCCCTCTGCCCCTGCCCTACCTCCTCCGTTGGTCCCCACACCCTCTAAGTCTGCCCTCTGTCCAGCTGTAACAAAGCAGGCCCAAGGACGTGATCCGGGGGCCAAAAAGACGCCGACACCCCCGGTACTACCAGCAGATGACGGCTGCTTGTTGGATCTGCTGACTGAAGAACCTCCCCCCTATAGAGACCCAGACCCCGATCAAGAGCCGGGAGAAGCCACCGCTGCCGGACCTCAGGAGGAACCAGCTCCTTCCCCGGTGGCAGGGCGGTTGAGAGGGCGCCGAGAGGCCCCTCCGGATTCCACATCTCAGGCTCTCCCATTACGAGCGGGGCCTAACGGCCAGCTCCAATACTGGCCTTTTTCCGCTTCGGATCTATATAACTGGAAAAATAATAATCCCCCTTTCTCTAGGGACCCTTCTAGACTCACCGCTTTAATCGAGTCCATTTTAGTAACCCACCAGCCCACCTGGGACGATTGTCAGCAGCTGTTACAGGCCCTCCTGACCACCGAGGAAAAGCAACGAGTCTTTTTGGAAGCCCGTAAGAACGTCCCGGGGGCTAACGGGCAGCCTACTCAGTTGCCAAACGAGATCAACGATGCCTTCCCCTTGGAGCGACCTGAATGGGACTTCGCCACGGAGGACGGTAGGAATCACTTACGTCTCTATCGCCAGTTGCTGATAGCGGGTCTCCATGGGGCAGCAAAGCGCCCCACTAATTTGGCTCAGGTTAAGTTAGTGACCCAAGGGTCAGAGGAGTCTCCCTCCGCCTTCCTCGAACGACTAAAGGAAGCCTATCGTGTGTACACCCCCTATGATCCGGAGGACCCTAACCAGGCTACCAATATGGTCATGTCCTTCATCTGGCAGTCCGCCCCGGATATCAGAAAAAAATTAGAGAGGCTCGAAAACTTAAGAGAAAGTACGATCCAGGATTTGCTAAAAGAGGCGGAGCGGATTTTCAACAAGAGAGAGACTCAAGAAGAAAGAGACGAAAGGTTAAAAAGAGAGGCAGAGGAGAGAGAAAACGTTAGAGACCGCAAGAGAAATAGGGAATTTAGCAAATTGCTGGCCACTATAGTGACAGGGCAGAGGCAGAATAGACAGGACCTGGGAGACAGGAGGGGTCCTCGGATAGACAGAGATCAATGCGCCTACTGCAAGGAAAAAGGGCACTGGGTTCGAGACTGCCCAAAGAGACCAAAAGGGCCACGGAAGCCTAAGCCCCAGCCCACCCTGCTAAACCTAGAGGATTAGGGGAGTCGGGGTCAGGAGCCTCCCCCTGAACCCAGGATAACCCTTAATGTGGGGGGGCAACCCGTCACCTTCCTGGTGGACACCGGAGCCCAACATTCGGTGCTCACTACCACTCCGGGACCCCTGACTGACAAATCGGCGTGGGTCCAAGGAGCCACCGGAGGGAAAAGATACCGTTGGACAACTGAAAGAAGAGTACAACTCGCCACCGGTAAGGTGACTCACTCTTTTTTACACGTTCCTGATTGCCCTTATCCTCTGTTGGGGAGAGATCTATTAATGAAACTTAGGGCACAAATCCACTTTGAAGGGACTAAGGCCCACATTACTGGGCCTCAGGGACAGCCTTTACATGTGTTAACCATAGATCTGGAGGACGAATACCGGCTTCACGAATCCGAAAGGCCTCAGCCGCAAGAAATAACTGTTTGGTTAGAAAAATTCCCTTTAACCTGGGCGGAAACAGGGGGAGTGGGCCTCGCAACCCACCAGCCGCCCCTGGTAATCACACTAAAGGCATCGGCAACTCCTGTTTCCATTAAGCAATACCCGATGTCACATGAAGCTTACCAAGGAATTAGGCCCCACATTCGGAGGCTTTTAAACCAGGGCATCCTGGTGCCTTGTCAATCCCCCTGGAATACGCCTCTCCTTCCGGTCAAAAAGCCAGGGACAGGAGACTACCGCCCAGTGCAGGACTTGAGAGAAGTCAATAAAAGGGTAGAGGATATACACCCTACAGTTCCTAACCCGTACAATTTGTTGACTGGGCTTCCTCCGACGTACACCTGGTACACGGTATTAGACCTTAAGGATGCATTCTTTTGCTTGAGGCTCCACCCTCAGAGTCAGCCTATCTTTGCCTTCGAGTGGAAGGACCCAGAATTGGGAGTATCGGGTCAGCTCACTTGGACTAGACTCCCACAGGGGTTCAAAAACAGCCCCACCCTATTTGACGAGGCGTTGCACCGGGACCTGGCCGATTTTAGAGTTCACTACCCTGCTTTAATCTTGCTCCAATATGTTGATGACCTCCTCCTGGCTGCGGAAACTGAGGAAAAATGTCAGGAAGGAACAAAGGCACTCTTGAGGACTTTAGGAACTCTAGGATACCGGGCCTCAGCCAAAAAGGCCCAATTATGCCAGAGGCGAGTTACATACCTGGGTTACCAAATCAGAGATGGACAAAGATGGTTGACAGAGGCGCGGAAACAGACAATCCTAAAAATTCCGGTGCCCAAAAGCCCGAAGCAACTAAGAGAGTTCCTGGGTACGGCGGGGTTCTGTCGCCTCTGGATTCCAGGGTTCGCAGAAATGGCTGCGCCACTTTACCCACTCACCAAGCAAGGGACTCTTTTTATGTGGGGAGATGAACAGCAGAGGGCCTATACAGCCATAAAAGAGGCCCTGCTAACCTCCCCCGCGTTGGGGCTTCCGGACTTAAACAAGCCCTTTGAGCTGTTTGTAGACGAAAAACAGGGATATGCTAAAGGAGTCCTGGCTCAAAAACTAGGACCATGGAGGCGTCCGATAGCCTACCTGTCCAAGAAACTTGACCCGGTAGCCTCGGGATGGCCACCCTGCTTGAGGATGGTGGCAGCAATTGCCCTCTTGATTAAAGACTCTGGCAAGCTGACTATGGGACAGCCAATAACAATTTTGGCTCCTCATGCAGTGGAAGCCCTGGTCAAACAACCTCCGGGCCGATGGCTTTCCAATGCCCGCATGACCCACTACCAGGCCCTACTACTGGACACTGATCGAGTATACTTTGGCCCTATAGTAGCTCTCAACCCGGCATCACTGCTTCCCCTACCGGAGGGTCCAGAAACTCATGACTGCCTCCAGATACTTGCAGAAGTACATGGTACCCGACCTGACCTGACCGACCAGCCCCTCCCCGACGCTGACTTCACCTGGTACACTGACGGGAGCAGCTTTCTGGACAACGGAGAGCGGAGAGCGGGGGCCGCAGTCACCACCGAGACTGAGGTAATTTGGGCTGAGGCTCTACCACCTGGCACTTCGGCACAGCGGGCTGAGCTCGTCGCCCTAACTCAGGCCCTCCGGATGGCAGAAGGTAAGAAGCTCAATGTTTATACCGATAGCCGCTATGCCTTTGCCACTGCTCACATCCATGGGGAAATATATCGGAGAAGAGGGTTGCTTACCTCGGAAGGAAAACAGATCAAAAATAAAGCTGAAATATTGGCCCTGCTTAAGGCTTTGTTTTTACCCTCAAAACTGAGTATCATCCATTGCCCCGGCCACCAAAAGGGAGACAGCCGAGAAGCCAGGGGCAACCGCTTGGCGGACGCAACTGCCCGAGAAGCGGCGAGACAAGAAAGCTCAGATACCTCCCAGCTCCTGGCTATAGAGCTGGCCGAGGTAGAGGTCCCCTCCATTCAGGAACCTCCCTTCCACTATAGTGAGGAAGATCGGGACCTCCTAAAAGAAATGGGGGCCACTTACAATCCCATGCTAAGACTCTGGACTTTCAAAGAAAAACCTGTGTGGCCCCTGCAACAGACTCGTAACCTGATTGAATACCTCCACAGACTGACTCACCTTAGCTCCAGAAAAATGAAAACCCTCCTAGAAAGGGAGGAAAGCTCCCACTATTTGCTGGGGAGGGATAAAATTCTACAACAAGTGGCTAAAGAGTGCACAGCATGCACCCAAGTAAATGCAGGACGCCATAGGATAGGCCCAGGGACCAGGATCCGGGGACATCGCCCCGGCACCCACTGGGAGATTGACTTCACAGAGGTAAAACCTGGACTATATGGATATCGGTACTTGCTGGTATTTGTGGACACCTTCTCGGGATGGGTAGAAGCCTACCCCACCAAACATGAAACTGCCAAGGTAGTCGCCAAAAAGCTTCTAGAAGAAATCTTCCCCAGGTATGGCATGCCCCAGGCGTTGGGCTCTGACAATGGTCCTGCCTTCGTCTCCCAGGTAAGTCAGTTAGTGGCCAAACTATTGGGGATCAATTGGAAATTACATTGTGCATACCGTCCCCAGAGCTCAGGGCAGGTAGAACGAATGAATAGAACTATCAAGGAGACCTTATCCAAATTAACGCTGGCAACTGGCTCTAGAGACTGGGTGGTCCTCCTCCCACTGGCCCTATATCGGGCCCGGAACACCCCGGGCCCCCATGGACTCACTCCTTTCGAGATCCTGTATGGAGCCCCACCACCGATCGTTAACTTCTTTGATCCCTGTATAGCTTCATTTGCTGA